GCATTGTCCTCCGATCTTGACGCCACTACACGTCTCATGGACACCCTTGTGGCAATGGAATTGCTAGAAAAATTCAAACAGGGTGACCAGTGGTTGTACAGTAATTCTGAAATGGCCACTAAATTTCTCACTAAAGACAGTCCAAATTCGCATCTGGATATGATCGCCTTAATAAACAAAATGATGTATCCTATGTTCGGAAATTTAGAAACCGCCGTTCGCGAGGGAACTACACAATGGAAGAGGACGTTTAGAATGCCTACAGAGGAAACTTTTGTGAACCTTTATAACACCGAAGAAGCCAAATTACGATTCCTGGGTGCCATGCATTGTAATTACCTCTATGGAAGCTATGCTGCTGCTAAAGCCATTGATCTAAGCGCGTACAGAAGCTGCTGTGATCTAGGAGGTAAGTCAAAAAAACGGAAAGTTCGAATACATCACACGCTATTTTTATAAGAAGTCCAAGACTTACAATGGAAAAACCTTTGCCTGTCAGCACTGTGAAAACAATACTGGCTGAAGTTTATTCCACCTCTTCTGAACGAGCATTATGAAGAAACCACGATCAAAAAGAACGAAACCGCGTTTGGTCTCACAATGGCTGAACTAAATTAATAGTCGACTGAATGCAATAACATAGAGAAATTTTGAGCCAAGAAAAATGTCTCAGGGAATTTGCATAATATAGTCAGACTTTTCTTCCAAACGTATCTTATTCTTCTTTTCTTAAACTCGTCGACAATTTGTCAATTACACATGGATGAGGATAAGTGTAACAAATTTTAATTCAATTTTGCCTTAAGTAACCTGTTGGACCTAGGTTTAAAACTACTTATGGAAAAGACCGTGTATGCGAACGTCGCAGAAAGGCTAGGCCCGTTTCAAACCGGTCGTTCTACTACCGTTCTGAGCTAGCGCGACTTGGTTTAAAACGTCGAATTCAACTCATTCTTTTCAACAACTTTCCACGAACAACTTTGCATGAGCTTTGTATAACTGCTGTCCTATTTTAATTATACGTTAACTACCGTTTTTAACATTCCGGATAGAGGAAACACGGCTACCTTTTCGGAGGTTACGTGTCTGCCAAGAATTTTTCGCTGGTTTTACACAAAAATTCTATCCAAGCAAGATTTTTGGAAAATTAGTTGTAAATGTGCTAATTACAATAAACAGCAAACGATCTATGACTCTGTTTGCTGAAATGGAAATTTAAAATTCCCTATTTCTCTCTGCTCTAGGGGCTGTGGGAACTCTCGCCTATGCTTTCTGTCAGTTCTACCCTGAAATGAAGATAACAGTTTGTGACTTGGAGCCAGCCGTGAGTTTAGCCCATCACTTCCGACCATCAGTTGAAGCTTGCCCAAATCAAGCCAATGTTTCCTTTGCGGTCGGCGATTTCTTCAAACCTGAAACCATACCAAAGGCTGAGCTGTATGTGTTGTCTCACGTTCTCCCCGACTGGTCAGAGGATAAAGTTGACTTGATTCTTTCAAATGTCTACAAGTGCTTACCCTCAGGTAATTTTAATACAAAGAAAGTTTTACCGTTCTTTAAGGGATCCAGCACGCACTTACGGAAGTACGTGCGTGCGCCGTCAAGGGCCATCCAAGCAGAAAATACTAGGTTCTGCACGTAACTTACAGTTTGGATCAAGAAAACGGGATTTATTATGTCTCTGGTTTAATTACAGACTGAGAGGGCATCAAGGATTACAGTTCAATCAGGAAACCTGTAAATGATCGATGGGAGTGAAATCCTACACACGAGCGTCAAAAATGGTGGCTTTGTGACGGCAAAACATTTAACACACCCAAATTAAACCCCAAACTTACAAGAAACGCCGTAACAGCCTTACAATGTTTTTCCCTCATGAATCGTAACCAAAACGAACTTTAATTTTGAATTCACGGTCTTAGTCTTTAAGTGAAATGAGCCTGCGAACCGACTGATGAAGAAGTGCTTTGGTAACAAAGGGTGTTATAACATAACAAAAGTAAATCGCGCGCTCTGATTGGTCAGTCAGCCACTACCATTTGCCCGTGGGTGCACGCCAAGAAAATGAGCTAGCGCGGTAAAATTTAGGCAAATTCAACAAATCTCCTGACGGTAAAATACACCCATGAAATGCACAGATGAGAAGTGGAAGTTGAAGAAAATACCAAGCCGTCGTTTTGAAGGAAAAAAGACAAAATATCAAGCGATAAATTTTCCCTGGATGAATTAATCGCGGCTAGAATCGGCAGAAGGAAAATCGAGCGAGCGAAGATTTAAGGTACATTTTGTGTGTTTTTTATAGAAGAGAAAGTCTGTTTGAAATGTAAATTTATCAATTAGCATTGTGTTATTGACTTTTTGGTCAAGCTGATGCTAAATTCAAGCAAATATGTTAGGAAACACGGTCAAATTCGAGACAGCTTTGTTGTGAAGTTTTCATCGCATCGATTAAAAATTTTAGTTGAGTTTTTTAAACGGGCACATTACGCTGGAGTAAGCAAATTTCATTTGAGTACAGAAACATTTGGGTTTTCAAATAAATTTTTCAAAAAATAACTTCTGTGTGTATTAGTTTGTTCCTCAGTGTTCATTCATAACAGTCGTTCAGAGGACGGTCGAAAAACAACAGCTTCAGCGCCGGCTGTGCGTCGGCGAATTTCAGTTGCAACTTTGACTTTCATAGCTGGATTTCGATACAAAGCTAGTTAATTTCTTTTTAAAATTAGTATTACCTGTTATTCTAAAGGAATTACAGTCAAATTTTCTCATCTCTACTTTACGTTTATTTCAAAAATTGTCACATAAATAAGCTTGATAATTATTTCATTTATTTAGTTTTAGCTTATTTTTTAGAGTGTTTTTAGTTGGTGTTTATAGTTGCAGCTATAGTTTTCCCTCAAAGTTTTTACCCTAATATTAAGAGCAAGTAGACAGATGTCATTCAGAATCACAACGAAAAACGTTTTGCAATTTACCTGAAGACGGAGAACAGTTGATTCAGCGAAAGAAAAACTCAAAGGGGCGGGCAGATGGCAGCATACATGAACTCGGACCGATGACTCAACCGAAGGCAAATGGAAAATAATGTTTTTCTCTTTTGATTATGTTATAAAAGAAATGGTAAACGTTGCAGCTGTGCAACCATGGAGTTATGGATGCACTTGGGAGGTTTGCTAAGCACTCAAGCAGGATTAGCTCAGTCGGTCGAGCGCTTGACTGCAGAGCGGGAGGTCGGGGGTTCGATTCCCGGGACCGGACCAATACTCAGGGTCTTAAAATAACTGAGAAATGAAGGTACGACCTTCGCCCTGCAGGCGGCTGGACCTTCGCGTGGCTAGGATGACCACGTAAAATGGCGGTCCCGTCTCCATTAGGAGACGTAAAATATAGTGTCTACAATTAGCACTTTCGTGCTAAATACATTGACACTCAAATAAAGTGCATTTTTTTTTCTGACGCTTCTTTCGTGCTTAGCAACCTCCCGCGTGCATCCATAACTCCATGGATGCACAGCTACAACGTTTTTAATCTAGTATGCAGGCTACACGGTGACGGTTGACAGTGCATATAGAAATGGCGTACAAGATTATTGTATGACCAATCATTTCTTTTGCTAGCCTAACTTCGACAATGTTGGAGACGTTTTAACTCCCTCAGTAACTGAGGGACTAAAAACGACTCGAAGTAATCGTCTGAAATTCAGGTTACTCTGTTGCCATAAAAAGGCAAAAAACGCGTCACTTTTCATAGCTCTTTTTTTTTTTAGGTGGGGGACTCCTCATTTGCGAACGGATTTTAAACGAAGACAAACGTGGCCCATTGCCTACTCTCATTTACAGCCTTCTAATGTTGGTGTGCACAGGTGGAAAAGAGAGATCAGCTTCAGAATACAAGCATCTCCTGGAAAAGCATGGGTTTATAGATGTTGAAGCGAAACGTGTTTATTTTACTCAAGATGCCATTTTCTGCAGAAAGATGTAA